TTCAACTCTAGAATCGCAGTGTGCAACGGAAGCATCCATTCTCCTTCTTCCAAAAGTCATTTTATTCATTATCTAGGTAAGCTTCTAACTAAATGATATTTGTTATCACTTCTATAGGAATAATTTTCTTCCAACTTTATTTGAGTTTTTATATACATGAGTTTGTCRTCCTTAATCTACAATATTTTATTCATATGCCTACTAAATCTTTACAATACAATTTATGTTGAATCATAAACCTTTAGGTGGTTGTKCTTCCATTTGGACCATTTTGGAAATTAAGTCCTAACTTCATGCATATACATAATATTTCCTATAAACTTACTTTCATTGCCGTAAATATACTTATTATAGCTTTTTTGTTCTTTTTTTGACCAGATATCAGTGAATCAACCTTTCCAAAATTTTGAGAACGTAGTCGTCATTTCATCTTCCAGGTTATCTTCAATCTATTTATGCATAAAACCACAAACATGATTGTCTTTCAAACCTCTACATTTTATACTTAAGTTCACACATTTTTAAGACGACCTTTGCATTCTAGATTGTATGTACCCATTATGCTATTAACACTTAATATTGAAATTCAAAAGGGTAGATGAAATGTTATATATTGATGATAGAAATCTCGAGCAAGAAAAACACTCTTTATATTTACAATGGTTTGGATAACTTTTAACATTAATTGCTATTTAATTGTCACGTGAATATGTTAATTTTTCATATAATTATATAAACTTTAATCTATTCCACCAAATTTTAACTCCAATACTCTCTTTCAAGGCGTACCCTGGCATAAAATGGAACTGTTTGACGCGTTAATTCAAGTTACTGTACATTTACCGGAGTCACAAGAGCATGTTCACAACCTTCAAAAGTTGTTCACGTGTATTTGTCGTCATCATAAAAAGCATAAGCGACAATTGGAAAAAGATCAACCGAGCTCTTCAAATGGAATGATGGCCAACAACTTACGATTTGTTAGAGACAGAATTAGAAAGCATGCACGACTGAATCGCATGTTAATCCTCATTTATAACAAGTACAGGCATCATGATTTGCACATAACTCTTCGGAGTCTTTCGCAAACTTTGAACTTTTTTTCAAATTCAACCGCCTACACCAACATCAAATATCTTGTTGAAAGTCGAGGTAAATCACTTATTCAAGTCATAAATAAGCTTTCAGTTGTGCTAACATCATAATATAACACAATTTGAAACACAAAATACCAAGAGTTCTACAAACACCCTAACTTGCCAAGTTGAAACACAAAATACCTTATACGAATCTCACAACGTACAAACCGGACATGCACAAGGTAACTATTATTTATTTAGAAATATTTGTTATACTTTTGTGCTTTCATATTACTTTATGATGCTTAATTTCTCATTTTTTAAATTCACCACAGTTAATTGGACACAAGCATGGTATTTTGGACCTCCTACATACACTTGTCATCATTGTGGCACAATGTTATGGTATGAGGAATGGAACACCAGAACTCGGACTACATCACAACCAAAATTTTCATTTTGTTGCATGGAGGGGGGTGTTCAAGTGCCATTATTAAAGGAACCACCCGAATACATGCAATATCTCATGAGTGATGCTTCTGGGCAAAAAGTAGTTCAATTTCAAAAAAACATCCGAACGTATAATGCCATTTTTGTGTTCACGTCAATGGGTGGTCGTATTGATTCATCTATTAATAACTGAAAGGGCCCATACTTGTTCCGTATGAGTGGCCAAAATTATCACCGCATTGGATCTCTGTTGCCAGAGAATGGGCGAAAACCACAATTTGCACAACTTTATATATATGATACTRACAATGAGATTGGTAACAKAATCAATACATTTCAGGACAGCGGTCGAGCATCTATGTTGGACCATGAAATTGTGCACGGCTTATCTCAAATGTTGGATTCTCATAACATTCTTGTAAAAAGTTTCYGTATGGCGAGARATAGATTCAAATCATCTCYACACTCTTCATTTCGATTGTGCCTCAAGGGAAACAGAACAACAGATGGTCGTCAATATAATATACCGACTGCTTCAGAAGTTGCAGGTTTAATAGTCGGGGATTTTACARAGTCGAATTGCCATCGTGATATAATTGTTGAGCATCAAACTACAGGTCTTCAAAGAATCACATATTTGCATCCAAGTTTCATGTCAATGACATACCCATTGATACACCCATATGGTGAAGATGGTTATAGAACTGACCTTTCTATAAGAAACTTGTCAAACAGTGAATCAAAAAGACAAAAATTGACGATGAGACAATATTATTGTTTTCGTCTTCAACAAAGATTACAYGAAGGAAAAAGTCTTCTTCAAGGAGGTAGATTGCTTCAACAATATATCGTTGATTCTTACATGGCAATTGAAGAGGAACGTTTTCGATGGATAAGAAATAACAAGACAAAACTCAGAGCTGATCTTTATTCTGGATTAATGAATGTTGTTCACCGTGGTGATTCAGATTGTTCAACGGTGGGGAATTCAATTATCTTACCATCGTCACCCACCGGAGGACCACGCTATAAAGCACAAAACTATCAAGACGCAATGGCAATTTGCAAATGGGCTGGGTATCCAGATTTGTTTCTAACTTTCACATGCAATCCTAAATGGCCTGAAATCAAAGACATGCTTCAGAAAATTGGCCAAAAAGATCATGAAAATCGTGCAGATATTGTGTGTCGCGTGTTTGAGATCAAACTCTTCCAACTAATGGAAGACCTGAAGACTGAACAACCATTTGGACAAATAATCGTATGTAAGTGAACACCATACGCAAACTTCTTCTACAACTATTTTACTACTTCAAAATGCGACCATAATTTTATCTGATCATGATTCTCAATTCCATAACATTTTCACTTATTATATATCGTAGGTTTGTACACAATTGAATTTCAAAAAAGAGGATTGTCGCATGCACATATCTTGCTCTTCTTACATCAGACGATAAAAAATTCTTCAGGTGACCATATCGACAATATAATAACAGCCGAGATTCCTGATCCACATGTTGATTTTAATGGCTACAATGCAGTCAAGAAATTTATGATGCATGGGCCATGTGGAAGTTCAAATCCTAAATGTCCATGTATGGTACAAGGCAGATGTTCAAAGCTTTATCCAAAGAAGTTTGTTGACAAAAACATTATCGATGCTGAGGGATTCCCGGTTTACAGAAGAAGGAAAACAAATATAACTATTTGAAAGAAAGATATCTTCTTGGATAATCGTTCAGTGGTCCCATACAACATAAACTTGTTGGTTAAATTTGATGCACATATTAATGTGGAGCTCTGTAATTTCTCCAGAGCTATAAAGTATCTATTCAAATATCTTCATAAAGGATCCGATAAAGTTATTGCAACAATTGAATCCTCGGACAAAGGTGAAGGGAACGATGAGATCAAAACTTATTTGGACTACAGGTATATATCAACTGCTGAGGCTTGTTGGAGGATCTTTCAGTTTGACATACATTACAGACACCCATCAGTTGAAAGATTGCCATTTCATTTGCTTGACAATCATACCGTCGTTTTTCGTGAAAACAATCGTGTTGAAAACGTTCTATCTATGCCTGGCATGGAGAAGACAAAGTTTACAGAATGGTTGGAAGCAAATAAGAAGTATGTGGAGGCACGACAATTAAGTTATTCAGATTTTCCCACACAATGGGTATGGAATTGAAACGAAAAAATTTGGACAAAAAGAAAGAAATGCATTGCAATCGGTAAAAAATTTTACGCCTCCCCTTCAAGTGGAGAGCGTTTTTACATGAGGATGTTGCTTAATTATGTCAAAGGATGTACTTCATTTGAGAGTATCCGAACCGTCAACAATGTCACATACCCTTCTTTCCAAGATGCATGTTATGCACTTGGTTTATTGGACGATGATAAAGACTGGATTGATTGTTTGACAAAAGCTGCAATGAATTGCATCATCTATTTTTTACAATGATCATCCATTGCCAAGTCTCAAATGTGTCACATCTTTGGAAGTCTCACTACACTACATTGTCTGAAGATATTCCTTACCTCCAAAGGAAAAAATTTAGGGCGCCGGACATGCATTTAAATGACAAACAAGTGGAAGCATATACCTTGGTTGAAATTGAAACAATAATGTTGAAAATGGGAAGAAGTTTGAAAGATATAGTTGGAATGCCATTGCYGAATTTTACATTGTTGCRAGAATCAAAAAATCGGTTGATTGATRAAGAACTTGATTATGATCGTCATCAATTGAAGAATCTGCATGACCAATCATTTGACACTCTAAATTCTTGTCAGAAAAAGGCATATGAAGCAATTGTTCTTTCTGTGCAATCCCAAAAGGGAGAATTGTTTTTCATTCACGGTCATGGTGGTACCGGGAAAACCTTTCTGTGGAATACAATCATTGCTAAGTTTAGATCAGAAGCAAAAATAGTTTTGCCTATTGCAACTTCGGGGATTGCAGCTTTATTATTGCCTAACGGCAGAATGGCACATTCTCGCTTTCATATCCCGATCAATATCACAGCAGAATCAACTTGTGAGATTCGACATGGTACAACGTTGGCAGAACTTCTCATGAGAACCTCTTTGATCATTTGGGATGAAGCACCAATGGCACATAAATTTTGTTTTGAAGCTTTAGACAGAAGTTTAGGAGATATATTTAGAACAAGATTTCCCAATAGCAATGAAAAACCTTTTGGTGGACTTACTGTTGTTTGTGGTGCGGATTTTCGTCAAATTTTGCCCGTTGTTCCAAAAGGAACTAAAGGTGATATCATTGATGCTTCTTTCAATTCATCCTACTTATGGCCATATTTCAACGTTCTTAGTCTTAACCAAAATATGAGGCTATATGCTGGAGATATACCAGAATCTGAAGCTTGTAAAATATATTCTTTTGACAAGTGGTTGTTTCAGCTAGGAGATGGTTCTCTATACGATGACATTCAAAGAGAGTTAATCAAACTTCCATCTGATATCTCCCTAAACCAATGAGATGACCCAATTCAATGCATGATTCAAGCTGTGTATCCATCGTTGTTGTATAATTTTGACAACCCTGCATATCTGAAAGAAAAAGAGATATTGACACCAAAAAATGAAATGGTTCATGATTTGAACAACATAATTATGGACATGCTACCGGAAGAAGGTGTCAACTATCTCAGTTCAGACAATGTGTGCAAAGCAAGTGTACAAACTAATGAAGAAGATCTTTTGTATCCATCAGAATTTTTGCGCAGTTTAAAATTCAATGGTGTCCCAAACCATGACATTAAACTAAGAAAAGGAGCTCCAATAATGCTTCTTAGAAATCTAAATCAATCAGAGGGGTTATGCAATGGCACAAGATTGATCGTTACAAAATTGGGAAAATGGTCCATCAGAGCAGATATTATTTCTAGAACACATGTTGGCAAAAATGTCACAATTCCAAGAATAATTATGTCCCCAAATGAAACAAGATGGCCATTCAAGCTTAGTAGGCGTCAGCTTCCTTTGGCAACATGCTTTGCCATGACAATAAATAAAAGTCAAGGACAATCACTACGCCATGTTGGCTTGTATCTCCCGAACCAAGTGTTTACCCATGGCCAAYTGTATGTTGYTGTATCACRAGKTACATCACGTGAAGGGTTGGTCATACTAAATGCCGACAATGAGATTGAAGATCGAACCTTAATTGAAAATATTGTTTTCAAGGAAATCTTCCAAACTATTTATTCAACAACTCATGATCTCCTGGTACGACATCCTCAAGATTTATAGTAACTATTAAATATTGATTAGCAATAACACTGACACAATATATAAACTAACACTTTTCATTTAATGACTTTTTCTACAGGAAAACGAGTCTGCCATCTAGCAACGGATTTTCAACCATGCCACAAGTTTATTGGATTGTTCATGATAGAAAGTAATATGTGGCTTTCTCTCCAAATAATATACCGAATTGACAATAATTATCTATACATTATACWTTTATTTCTCACATGCAATATATTACACGACTATATTCTTCTTATAAYAAGACAATCAAAAGCATGAATGTTAGTTTTACATCTACCAAATGTATTTCGTACCATTTCACAATTTAATAGCGTGCTCATAACAAAATATGATCTCTAAACTTCTCACTTATTAATTTCTTAAATCACATACTCCATCACAACCTAAAATTCTTTCMCACYACATATTMATTTTCYWTGAAACAATATATTGCAACTCTCTTTATGCTTACAAAACCAAACATTCGAACATACAATTCTAATATTATTATTGTGAAACTTTTACCACTTTATATTTAATTCAAACTTCTCGATGTTTTTCTTCATTAAGTAATATCGACCGCGCGAAGCGCGGTAACATTTCCTAGTTTAACAATAAACCAAAATAACTACTCATACAAAATGTGAATAAGGATTAATATTCAAATACCGAAACACGGATAAAACTCTATTATCCCAACCACCAAAAACATCGGTAAGTTCCATTATACCAAACCCATAAATTATGGATACTCTTCAAAGCCAGAACAACACTGAAAACATGGATAATTCAATATCCAAAAATAACACATTTCGTTGACGGGGAGACTCGTTTCCTTTAAACGTGGCAGAACACAAAAGTAGGCCACATACCAACATAGTCGAACTACACCTAAGATTCATTGCCTTTAGTGCACACTATAACAAGTGTCACTTCAAACCCTTAAATATTTTTAGTGTTTACTCCATCGAGTTTCACCTCAAGGCCACCATATACCTTTAGTGCACACTTATTTGAGTGTCATCTGAATCTTAGTATTCAGTTGTTCTCTAGTTCAATTTCAACTTCAAGGTTCCCATTCGATATTTAGTTTCTACTCACTACATTAAAGATAGGAACCTCAAACTTCCTACTTGGATACATGGTGTATTTAACCCTTATGCATAAGGTTTAAAATATCTAAACCACAATACGCATGGTCCTAGAATCCGTCTCACAAGAATCTCTACAATATCGAGATGACCATAATGCCTACTTGAGCATTGGTCACAAAGTGAGGACATCAAGACCTTTCACTTATGAAACATGACTGACTTCATATGCCTATGAATCGAATGTATTACATTCTAAATTACATAAATACAAATGAATGACCAACACACTTAGAAGGAGGAAATGGGATTCGAACCCATGATTTATCAGTTGGTTGAGCAGTCATGGCGAATAAACACAAACAACAAGCGAAAGTTTAAGGATAACTGTAGGTCGGTGGCTACCTAAGGAAACTCCGATTATAATTTTTTGTCTTACTTTTAGCCAAGCAGGGGAGCTATCCGCATGTGCCCCAAAATGACATCCGTTTTTAGGTAATGGGTAAACTACAAACTGTTAATTGGTATCTATACCAACAGAAAAATAGAATAAATCATGCGACATTTCCTATCCACATTGTCCTTGGTGATCTCTATTATGGAACCAGTGGCTTCCTCCTAAGATGGGTTTATTCTCATATAATTATGAAATAAAAGCGCAATATATACATATCATGTCTCAAGCTCAATGTACAACAAATAAAACTAGACAAATGTCCCCAAGACTCATTGGATCCATATCCGAGCCAATAAGTCAACAAATCAGTTGACTATTCAATAAAAGTCAATATAACCAATAAAATACAATTATCCGAAGTTTATACACCTTATACCCAAAAGGTATGAATATCTTTATTATCGATTCAAATGTTAGACAAAATCCCCAAAACATACCATAACTTCAAGGAAGCATTTCCAAATAAGCAATAACACTCAACATGTGCCTAACAACTCAACCAAATAGACGGATGCCGGGTCCACCAAATAATTAGTTCCAGCTATTGGCCAATTACAACCAAAATTGTAACAACGGTAAGTTGGGTCGAATCCACAAGGACTCGGTTTTAACTTATTATTGCCAAATAATTCAAGTACAAGAACGATTAATTAAAGTAAATACAAAGGAGGGCGAGTGGATTTGAGTAACTAGACTAAACATGCGATTAAAAACTATTTGAAAACGATGAATTTAAAATCCAACATTAGTTTTCTTACAATTAAGATGTTCGTACCTATCATTGATTCCAAAAATGTAAGCATAAAGAACAAACCCAAGTTGATTATAGTCGTTATCAAGCTCTAACGACCTCTATTTTTCCTTAAATTTACACCAGTTGAAATATCTCTTAAACCGGATCTTAGGGGCTGTTTGGCAGTTGTTGAATGGTTTAGTGCAGTATGATTAAGTGGTCAGAATGATTAAGAGACTGTATGATTTAGTGTCAGATAGAAAAAGGTTGTTTGGAAATTGTTCTGAATCAATTGTCTGAATGACATAAAATTACCATTTTACCCTCGGTCTTATGTTTAATGAAAATTAACGTTTGACAACACTTCTGAAGAAAATTTCTAAATGAAAAATAAAAAATAATTAATGGTCCAAGCCAATACATAATATTATATCAATCCAAACAAGCATGACAATGTCTGTTCAAGTTTTGGCGTAACAAAACATCACATGAAACACAACTTCAAGTACAACATCTAATTTAAAAAGTTTGGTAAACGACCCCTTAGGATAGAAAAGTTTACAAGAAGATAAATGTAGATTGTTTATCCACCATATAATTCTTATACCCAACAAAAAGATAAATACACGTTCTTTATCCACCATATAATTCTAATACCCAACCTCTTGTTTTGGTAAATGTGGAAGTCCAGTCCAAGCACCCCACCCCCAATATCATCAATATTATAATATTACTCAAATTGTACCAAAACCGTGGGAGGGAATACATAAAACCATGGATTGTTTTATTTCCAAGTTGTCATCTCAAAATTGGTTTCTCCATCAACCTAGAAGAAGCATCTCGAGGTTTGTTAAAATGCTTTTTCTATTTAGAAGGCTTGCCGAGGTTGGGGGACATATCATGACAAAACCGAAGCACACCTTGTACTTCATGTTGGGGGACATATCGCCTGATAATTTGATCAGAGCAATGTTTCCAAAGGTAAGGGTCAAA